TTTAAAAATAATTTTATTTAATACTAAACAAACTAAAAAAATAATATAGCAAAATAGCTTTGGATATTATGTGTTGTTGTTTTTTTCTTGGGGAACTCTACATCAATCTCAGTTTTAATATTTTCATATTGCGTTTGTGTCGTTTTATTTATCTAATATTTTTTCTGTTAAGATTTTGATTTCATGTTGTTTGTGTAAGCTTTTTTCTTGACCTTTATATATTCTTAATTAATGCTTTTACTATTTTTCCAGGTTTTGATGCTCTCTAATTGTCTGAAGCTAGTGGTTTGGTTTTCTCGTATAAATAATTACTAGATTTTTGATCAGCACATAAAAGTGAAGGTATCATTTTTATTGTTTTATCTACAGAATTTGTTGTTTTGATGATATAAATGTCACTATATAATATAACTTAAAAAAATAATGCAAATTTTAATTTATTGTTATCATCAATATCTATATAAATGTATTATATGCGATTGTGTAGTTTTATTCTGGAAAAATAATATCAATTAACTACGCTTAGTGCTGAGTAAGAGGTCAAACTCGTCCCGTCCGACCTGCAAAGAAAATATATTTTATCCGCATTTGTCCCACTTAATTTTGCTGGTAATCTACAAGACTCGTGGATAATTATTAAATAATAAAAAATTATTTTAATTTTATTTTAAAAAATAATATTAAATAGTATTTTTTAATTAAAATTTGAATACTTAAACAATATAATTATTTTTACCGGAATTATTTATATTTTTGAAAAATAAACTTAAAAAATTATATTTTTGCAGATTACCGGGTATCCGCAATTGAAATTAGAACAACCCGCATCAATTCCCCCTAAAATACATTTGACTCGCACCCGCAACTTAAATTTTTCAAATCGATCTACCTATTCCGTGGAGGGATCAACCTGCCAATTAAGACTGATATGTTTATTTTTGAAAAAAAATCATAAATAATTAGAAGGTGAATTTAGCCCATTAATAAAATCAATTATTATATTTTTTTAAGGCCCAAAAACCAAAAGACTATATAGTCATCAATAAAAATAAAAATTTGTTCATATCATTAAGGGTAATTTTAAAAAATATAAAAAAATTCATTAAAGGGAATAATCCTCACCATTAAATACAACTGTCAAAATTGGAGAAGTTTTAAGATGAGAATGTCATATAATATTTGTTTGTAGTTTTTATTTTATTGTGTTTACGTTTTCACAGAAGGAAGCGTATCACAAACTCTCTTTTTTTTTTGCGTTGGATTTCACAGATCTACTCCTTGCATTATGTATATTTTCTACAATATTTGATTAGTTTTTTATTAAAACATTCTTTCATTTTTAAACTGAATAAACGAAAAAATATCGGCGTATACGGCTCTATTGTTCATATCATTTGGATGGACATAAGTTTCGAGACTTCAAATATTTCATCCTCCAATTTTCACGTGAGTTGGTGGTCTATAATAAAACTCATCAATTTGCTCTTGATCGATTTTTCTCTGGTATTTTTCTGTTATTAACTTTTATGCACAAAGTATAATTAGTTTGAAAACATGTAATACCTTTTGGTCTATAACGTTTGAGATCAGTCTCAATTTTTATTTACAGTTCTTGTAATATTGTTGATTAGTAATCTAGCATATATTCCAAACTCATTGTTGAAAATCTAAAATATATTATCAACAGCCATTAAGGTGGAAACCAGAGGATCATCTTGAACAGAAGTTGGACCTGTAAGTTTTGAAAAGTTGTTGCTGATGACCAGCTTGAACCATTTGTTGGGCCAGATCATGAAGCAAAGGTAGAACCCTTGGGGGGATGACTGTTGGGACTGTGAAAATAGCGTTTTCTAAGCTTTTCTGATGGTCGAAGATTGCTTGGAAGACATTCAAAAAGGCGATCAGGTTCCATTAGGAAAAAATGTTACGTTTTAAACTGAAATATCATTATGTTTTAATAAAGTTGATATATATTAAGTAAAATTTACAAAATGTTATAAAATATAAATGTATTTAATATGGTAGCTATTTTTTAACCGATGGTAGATAAACCGAACCAAACCAAAGTAGATGTGATTATAATATTGTAGTTATTCTTTATAAACCGAAATACCAAAAAACCGAAAAAACGAACTGAAACCGAACCGAAATCCGAACTGAACACCCCTATTTCAAACAAAAGTATTTACAATTCGTTTTTGTAAAATTATAAACTAAAATTATTATTTTAATAGTTATTTATTTCACAGGTTAAAATTTATTAAAATATAAAAATATAAAATCATCCAATCTTTTCAAACTATTCTTATAAACAAAAATATTTTTGATAAATTATACATTTTATTTTACTTTTAACAATTTTTATGTCATAAATATAAAATGCATATAAACATCTAACAATTTTTGGACTTGGAGACCTGTAAAGAGGGGTCCCCATTTGAATGGTTCAGCTCACTCCCTAGAGACCAAGCTTTGGATATACGTTTCCCTTTATTTATTGTGATGCTTAAGAGATTGAAACCTTTATAAAGAAACCTTCAAGCTATGGTAATAGTGAAGAATGGTTTACTTTATAGGGAAGATAATGTGGTAAAATTAACATTTGTTAAATAAATAAAAATCATTAGTGATGATTGGTAGCAAATGATGTATAAAGTCTAACCTATGTGATGTTCAAAACTCGCTAGTTGTTGGAAAAGATGTGCAACAAAAGTAGTGAACATATTCTGAACATATGTGGGTTTGCTTTCATTGATAAAGGTATACATGTGGCGACTGGTGCTGTACTATAACGTTCTAATGCTAGAGACCATCTGATTTTATTTACGCCGCTACAAATAATTTCAAAGATACCTCTTTGTTCAATATATATCTGATTTTATGTACGTTTGTTCGAAATGTAAAATTAAAAATTAAGCTTAACTGTTTGTGTTTTGGTGATTAGTTGAGAGGACCAAAGATTTAATATCTGCTATCCGTTATACGGTCCAAGTACGTTTCGATCCGCTCCGAATAAACGGATATCTGGGGGTCCAGATCATATAGTGATTTTACGGATCTGGATAGTGAAATTTAGGTCTGGATATCCATATCCAGATCCACTATACATTTTAAAAATATTTAAAATATAATTATATTTATAGCTGTATATAATATTTCTATAAAATAAATAAATTTATTTTTATTAAATTTCAATGATTTTGACCCGCACTTAAGAATGTTATAAATATTTTATTTATCTCTAAGAATTTTGACTATTTAAAACATTTTACATTCAAATCATCGTTTTTAATCCTGATTTAAACCACGGTCGAATTGGTAACCCCGGTGATTCAATATGTTCCGATTTTGATTTTATTGAATTTATTATTTTAAAGTGTGATAAAATCCGTAAAAAATCGCTAAAATCTGAAACTAACCGTTTGAGCCGATGAGTAGCCGATATGAAATCCAATATTATAATAATTACGTTCATATGAAAATCAAAATAGTATAATTGGTTATTTTTATTTTAAAAGATTTAAAACTGAAATTATGTATAATTAATCTTTTTTTAATTTGTTTCATGTTGATTAATTTTTATGTTAATATGTTATAATAAAAATGATCAAATATTTTTTCAATTTCTTTTTTATTTGATAATTATTTTGTACGCCTCATAGAATAACCCAAAAAAAATTTAACTATAAAAACATCAAGTATAGTTTGTAATAATATAACCAAATATTATAAATATTAATTAAATTTTAGTATTTTACTTTTAAGTAAACATTTTTTGTATCCAAGTAAATTTATATTGATTCTTATTTATAATTTTTTTTGAAGTAAACATAAGCATTATTTGTTAAAAATTAAAATTGTTTTTTATAAATAACAAATCAAAAATTTTAATTGTAACCAAGATTTTCTGTTTAAAAAAAACATATACTGGGAATGTTCCTAAAGAATAAGAAGGTATATATCTAAATTAAATGTTATTTAATAATTGAATGCGGATATATGACTAACTTCTTAAACGTGAAGTATAATTATCTTCTTATTAATTATAAGATCCCGAAATATCTGTAACTTTTCCTAAAGAATAAATACAGTGAATATTGTATATCATATCGTAATTAAACATATAATATTATATTAATAATGTGAGATCTAACTTAAAATTTTACCTAAAAGTTTTTGTTTTAATAAGATAGATAAAGTCTCACGAGTCCCTCTGCTTACAAGCAAACTATCTTCTCATTATGCTTGATGATTCAAAATTCCTTCTGGGTGTGTGGTTCATTAACTTGATATTTGGCATTTTGCTGTTTGTTGCTGCAAAGAAAACTCTTAGAGGACGGAGCAGAGATCCAATCACCGCTGATCACTAAGCTGAAAACCATAGAGTTGACCACCATCATTTTTGTTGTTGCACCCATGATCGATCAATGTTATACAAGAACAAGAAGAAAGATAAAAACAAGAAATGGAGAAGTCAGAAGTGTTAAGGTAGATGGACTTCCACCATAAAACCAATTGGTGATAAGTGTATTGGCACATCTATCATATATTAGATATAAAGTATTTCATATTAGAAGTTAGAAGGGATATCAACTAGTATATATATGACAGATTGACCAAATCCACTTATCACCAATTGGTTTTAGATTGGAAACCCATATTCTTTAACAAAAAGACTACTAAAGATTCTCTCAAGAAATATAAATACATGCTTTCTCAATATGATATAACTGTAAACAAACAATACTTATACACATTTGACAGATCTATCTGTCTTTATTTCTTTATTCGTCTTTGTCCACACATATCTTACATAATAATGTAAGAAATCATAAGTTCTTACAAACTTGAATACAGGAAAACACAACTAAGGGAGTCATGTATGAGACAAGAGCAGTGCTCCCTTTTTCACACAGCAAAGAAAAGAAAAGAAAAGACAATCCAAGCATACTTGAGGGGTCAGGTCTTGTTCTTGCACGTGGTGATGTCTTCTTATAAAGCTAACAATAATTTGTCACAGAGATGAATTCAAATTCAACTCCCACATATAACTTATCGTTCACCAAATAAGGTTCACCAAGTTTGGACAGAGGCATAAATTCTGGAAAGCCTTGAATGACAACAGGATTTTCACCAAGCCAACCCAAAACTACAAAAAAAAGGAAAAGTGAAAAATGTTTTACCACACTTTCTTTTGTCAAGTCTGAAAAAAAAAAGAAAAAGAATCATATATTTCCAACATACAAGCTTTCTCAAAATGATTGCGGTTAACTTGATCCAATACACGCAGCTTAAACATGGCGTAAGTGTTTGCCACTTCCGGCACATTGTTGATAAGCCCTCCTCCAACTAGATACACAGAAAGTGATTTGTCTTTTCCCTCATTAAAGCCTCTTGGGTGCACTTGAATTCTCCTGAGCAAACACACACAAATTTATAACAAGGAAGGTGTGTAAGAAAGTTTGAGAAAATAAGGCATTGGTCATCACCATTTCCGGTTTCCAACGATGAATTCATTAGAATGATGAGCTTTTTCAGGCTCAAAAGACGAGAACCTGTTCATCATCCAAGTGACTTTGTGATTGAGAGGTTTCTCAATCACGCTAAAACATTCAGCTGTTCCGGAAGCAGCAGGTTGAAACCCATAAAACCTGACACCAAAGATACAACAATCTCCAACAAGCAGACCTAGGTACTCGCTATTGACATGAGACATCAAATTTGGATCCCAAGTCCAGTCCTGCTCTGCTGGTAAGACAATGTTTCCTGCAAACAAAACATATTAACATCAACCAAAATATATAGACAAACAGATAGATAGATATATAGGTATATAGATGTATAGACAAGTAGGTGTTTTCTTGCACCATGTGCAGTGATAAAATTTGTAAAAGTTAAATTATATTTAAAATAAAATTTATTAATTTTATATATTTTATTATGTTAACTAATATTTAATATAAATTTGATTTAATTAAGCACAAATTAAGAAAAAATATTTTTATTTAAAATTATATTTAATAATATATATGTAATATATTTTAAATTGAAATCTTAGAAATTATTTATCTATTTATTTTGGTTAATTGTATTAGATAAACTTGTATAAAATTACTAAGAAAAATTCATATAAAATTGTATAGTTATTAAAAATTCTAACTAAACAATATTTATATAATTTGTCGATATCTAAAAGAAACTAATGATATTATGATTAAAATTTATTAATTTTTAAAAAAGATATGTAAAAGATTTGAAAATATTAGTAATAAAAATTGTATAATTATAAAAGTAAAATTAAATAACATTTCAAAATTTATAATGCATATTTCAATATATTTATTTTTAGAGATGGTTTGATTTGATTTATTTATTACCATATTTTAAGAAGTTTACCAAAAATATAAATCAACATTAAATGTAATATATATGTTATTGTTATATTCTATAAAGTTTACCAAAATATATATCAGCAATAAATATATTGTTCATGTCATATTTAACTATAAGCCATATTATCAATCTCACTTGCTATGTCATTATTTTTTGTAAAAATAATTTTAGAGAGAACATGTTGTAAATTACTTAGCAAATAATATATGGGAAATGTACCTGATGAATGCCATATTTGCGATAGTTGATTAACGACAAATAACTCAAGTGTATGATAAACACCTATTGAGGGAGCTTGCCTTTGTAAGACCAAGGCGACATTACCAGAAAGACTACCCTCATACCCAGATGGGAGCACCATGAGTTTCCTGTTTTCATACCAAGTCAAGAAATATGGAGGAAAGATAACGTGTTCTTTTTTTTGTTGTATTAAGCATAAGAAGGTAACAACAGAACTCACCATCTGTAACCACCAAAATAAAAAACAGAGGATTCAACCAATTTGATGTGTTTTTTGACTAAAGAGAAATTTTCTATCTTCCAGAAGTGACATGTTTTGTTTTTTTCTTTTAACGCTGCCATCATTTCTGTGAAAAGTAGGAAAAAAAACTTGGAACTGATGATAAAAAGAGACTATGAAACCAACTGCTTTTAAAAAGTTATATCTATTTATTTTACCATCAAGGGATATTGGTCGTGACATTGTCGTAACAAGCTGCAAATGATATGAAACTGATTCTTCTAACGGAGACTTATATATCTAACTGAGGATGCAAACTAATAACTCTATATTACAGGCATTACAGGATAACAGCCAGGTGAATATTATTCCCATTTCTGTGTCTTGTCCCCTCAAACAATTATGGAATCGAACAAATTCAGTTCCATCGTGGATTTCACGCTATATAGAGATTCGAGATTGATAAGCATTATGTATAAAATATACATCACAAATTCTATAAATTAATATTGGATAAATTAATAAATACTATGAATTAATAATTTTTTCTTGTCCTAAGTTGACCCGATTCAAAATATGACAAAAAGATATTAATTTTTGAATATGTAGTCTCACTAAAATTATAAATTAATAATTATATTTATACACATTTATATAAATACAAACTAATAATTATATTGTTCGTTTTACTTTTACAAATTATCTTTATATATTTTTAATAGTCAATATACTGATAATGTTTGGTTAAATTATAGCTAAAACCACATTTAAATCTACAGACATATTTTATATACAACAAATAATATAATAAAACTAATATAAATGTATATACACTACAGTTAAATATTTTTATTTATTTTAAAATATATATATCTTAAAAAAAAATAGAATTCTTTTGAGGGATTTTTTTTTGTAAATTTATAATTCTATAAATTAGTAAAATACATAAATCTCAATATTATTAATTTATAAAGTTTTTACTGTATGTATATACTTGTATGATGTGAATGAAGAGATATAAAGGGAGGGGAATGGGGATTCTATATTCCCGACGTGTTGAGCGGGAAAGAAGATATGCTTGAGGAGGAAGTAAAGATACACAAAGATAGTATCAGAGATTATACTTGATCAAGTTCTCAATTTTATATTTGCATGTAGTCTTTAGCTGTCTGTTTAGGAAACTAGAGATCGAGAATTACTCGGATCTGATTACGTCTTAGCTTGTATATATGGAGCAGAACTCGACCTAAATAAGAAACAGAAAGTCCACCACTCTTGTGTGTCCATTTGACACGACGCATTATGTAATGACCGAGGGGTGCAGAAGCATCTGTGCTAACCACACATAAAGATGAACTGGCAGGATACAGAGAGTAAGTTGTCCTGGTTTCCTTTAACAAAAAAAGTTGTCTGTGTTTAAGTGGAATTAGTGATGGTAAGGATGCAGAGAGGGCTTATGTGTTTTGCCCATATATATACACAGGCCCGGCTCAGATATTTTATGGACCTGGTGCTCATATAAAAAGAAGTTATACTATGTTATTTGTAAATTTTAAAATGAGACCCCTAATCTATGTGCTGTTTATCAAATTAGGGCCCTAATTTTCTAAAGAAAATGGCAACAGAATAAGAGGATCTAGTGTAAATGCACCTAGAGCACATGCTCTAAGCCGGCATTGTATATACATATATGCATTTAAAGAAAAGAATCAAGTGAATGTTATTCCCAAGTCCATGTCCCCACATTTATCGTCGCAACCATCTAGACATGTCAATTATGGCGGAATCTCGCAGCCCAAACTCGCTCAGCTCTATCAATAACCGGTTTTGGGCTTAATTATATAAGCTCCACAAAATCAAGTCTTTCAGACTTAATTCATTAGGGATTTATCTGCTTTGAACTTGAGCATGTTTGGATAAGTACCGGTCCGGAAAGTCGAAACTATATTTTAATTTTTAAATTATTTAGCATTGATGTTGATGTGTTAAACAAATATAGATTAGTGTGCATGCCTCAAAAAAGTATTTAACTCTAATAATTACATTGGCGTCAAAGTCCTAAGTTTTATTATTAGTGTTCATGTTATAAAAAAATATACAAGTTGTATCCTACCAAGACATGTTGAACTAGTTTGTACATATATTTTAATGGAATGATTTATGTTCTGCGATCTAGGTAACATATTAAATATTTCTAAATTTGATTTTATATTGATATCTATGCAAAATTTTAATATTTTCACAAAGGGAATATATTCAGTTTCAAGATAAGGTTTATTAGTAGTGTTCATGTTATAAAAAAATATACAAGTTGTATCCTACCAAGACATGTTGAACTAGTTTGTACATGTATTTGAATGGAATGATTTATGTTCTGCCATCTAGGTAACATATTAAACATTTCTAAATTTTATTTTATATTGATATCTATGCAAAATTTTAATATTTTCACTAAGGGAATATATTCAGTTTCAAGATAAGGTTCAAATATAATTTGTAAATCATTTTATAATGGTACTTATTTTGAATTTGAGCTACAAAGAGTTTAGGTTCGGATTATTTTAGACCATATTAAAATAAACATGAGTATGTTTCAAACAATTATTTTTAACAAAATAAACTTAGATCTGAATATTTAGGTACTTATTTGTGTTTCGTGTAATTATTTTCAATACTAGTTCAAAATTTTGAATCGATTTTTGGATTTTTTTTAGCTTTTCAAAATTTTAGTATTTTTCAGGTTATCAATTCAGATTTGGTTAATAACATTTCATATTCAAATATGTTTTATATCATTCTACATAATCATTTGAGTATTTTTTTAATCTCACATCATATATTGATTGAGTTCGGATCTCACATTTCTTACCTACTCATACTTCAAATCATGCAACAAAGATTATGTCATACATATAGTTTATATATATGAAAAAAAAATGGTTTGACTCACTTCATTGAAGAAATCCTAGCCACGCTCACAGGCCCGGCCTATAGGGGAGTCAAAATAACCAACTGCTTAGGATCTATAATAATTTTGAGATTTTTTAGCTTAAGAAAAGGGCCTAAATGTTTATAAAAAAAAATTTCCTTAAAAAAAAAGGGTCCAAAATTTTATTTTGAATGGGGCCTTAAAATAGTTTTGGCTGACCCTGCACGCTCAAGACACGAGGATCTCGCTGCACCATGACTCCTTTGTTCCTCTCGCTTGCGTCTTTGTCTCTTTGCTGCTCTCAAACATCCAGAGGTGATCCAGAACATAGCGAACTGAAACAATGGCAGAGGGTTTCCAAACTTTTTTAAAAAATTTAAATGGTAAAAAGTCTTTAAATTTATAAAAAAAAACACTTTTAGAAAATCTCTTAATAAATTACTTATGACCTCTAACATCTTAGTTACGCCGCCATGCAAACATCTTAGCTTTGTTATGTCAGCTTCTTAGCCTTTTGCTTCTTGGTGGTTAGAGATCCCTTCGAAACCCGCGATGGAGGCAGAAGCAAAACCAGATGAAATCGCAGCTTAAGGGATGTTGCCCCAGAACCTTGTGTGATCGTTTATAGTTGTCGAAAACAATACAAATTTAACAAATAAAAGCTTATGAAATAAAAATAATAATACATAATGTTGAAAAATAACAATAATATAGATTACTATAAAGTTAGAAACATATAAGAGTAATTATAACACAGTAATTTTCACGAAACTACTAATCAAGCTTTTATCTTTAAATGGAATATAATTTTCTAAGATAAAATATTTAAGTCACTAAAATATTTAAACAAAGGGTAAATTTTATCAGAATATTTAGTTACAAAATAATATTTTAGAAAATCTATATTATAATTGTGGAGTTCCTAAGCTCCACAAAACGCCACATCAGCACTTTTGTGGGAGCGTGTGTTTTATTAAAAAAACTATAGTCTTGATAAGATGATTATGAACAACGAAATACACTTTGACCGAGTGGTATAAGGTGTCTAGTTGATCATGCAAGTGCGTGGGTTCAAACAACCAGCAATCATGTATTTTTGATTTTTTATTTGGGTTATTATTATATGGATTTTTTTATTTATAATATTTTTATGTTTTTTTTTCTTTGGGCTTATTGTTTTAAAGATCAAAATATTTGAATAAACCCTAAATCTTAACATGTTCAAATCCAAAAACAGTTAAAAATGGATTCAAAAACGAATAATCCAAAAAACAAAAAAAAAATGAGTCCCACGCGGTTTCCTACGTGGATGGCCAAGGAACCTTAAAACTGTTCTATTATATTATAGTTCAACCCAAAAATAATAAAAAAATGGATTCAAAAACGAACAGATCAAAAAACAAAAAAAGGTGAGTCCCACGCGACTACCTACATGCATGACTTAAGGAGGCTTGAATAATATAGATTAAGAGCTTAAAAAATTATATCATTGCACATATTTCCTAATATATATGTTCAAAATTTTTGTATGCGAAATAAAACTAAAGAAAACTAAGAAAAATTAAGTATTTTCCTAATTTATTAAATGAATATGTAATTTCTCTTACATTTTAATAGCTACTATAATTTCATTGAAAACACTCTTCACCAATGGCTTCAGACTCCGGCGAATGGTTTCCCACAATCGATGATGCCGTAGATAAAAAATGCCACATCATTTATGAACAAAACCCAAACTTACAAAAATCCATCTATAAAAACCTATCTAATGAAACCTAAACAATGAATATTAACTTAATTAAGGTTATTTTCAAATTGATAAATCGTTTAATACAAATATAAATACTATAAATACAAAATTATATCAAGTTTTGACCTATGATATAAAAACTGTTTACATCAAATAAAATAAAATAGAAACCTACTTTTACACACTAAAAACTATATTATAGCCTAACTATTTCTATAAACATATAAATAACATTTAACACATTATATATACAATATTTTCACTTTACACTCTTGCTACATTCTTTCTATTTCATTATTATTTGGTGTTATTATAAAAATTCACTAAACCAACAATCGAGAAAAATACACGCAAACATAATGATACCGGCTCCGCGCTTGCGCGAAGCGTATCTAACTAGTACACATAAAACTGTTGAAATATGCCTTGAATCTGCGATCTGACAGATCGATCGATACAGGAGTTATGGATCGGTCGATCTGGCCTGACACAGATCGGTCAATCCAGGAGCTTTTGGATCGGTCGATTGTGTCAAATCTGAGAAATATGGAAAGTTTCATTAAACGCTTTCTTATATATCTTTAGAGTTTTATCCTATTCTGTAACACGAATTGTACTTT